CGCTCTTCAGTCCGGTTCCCACGAGTAAGAAGTGTGTGAGTGCCGGCACGATCGTGAAGCCAACGGAAGCGGCTACGTTCTTCAGCATCAGCACCAGCGGCAACCTGACTCTGAAGTGCTTCCGCAGCACAGTCTCGCTCTCCACGATCACGAAACTTGCTCCTACGCCCATCACCGCCCCGGCACTCAAACTAGCCAAATACGCGCCCGCACCGCCGGTCGCCAAGTATCCGGAAGCTATGACGCCTGTGGTGAGGAGAGTCACGCCGATCAGACCGACCAGCCGTGGTATCGATGCCAAATCTGTGATCGTTTTGGTCCATGGGTCTAAAAGATCGTGAGCGAGAATAGAGTTGAAACACAGATGAACTGTACGTTAAATATAAGTACCTGCCAGACTCCAGAAGGCGACGAACAATATCGGCGTCAGGATGATTTTCGCGCTCCACAAGTCGAAGTAGAATAATGCGTTGTTCGTCGTTAAATATCCCAGCACTATGCCGTACATCGACAGGACACTAGGCACGGTTATCTGTAAGTTATGTGTTATATACACATCAGTGTTTATATACATATTTATATTTTATGAAAATATTTTTTAATATTTTCAATGCATTGTGATTTAATGGATTGTTATACAGGGCGTCGAGAAATATAGGCACAATAGTATCAAGGATTATGTACTCACCCACCGAAATAATTACAGACATTTACGCAATTATTTGAATATTTATGTATCGTATATAATAATATGAAAGATCATAGAGTTTGATTCGGTCGGACGCGCGCGTTCTTCGTATCGGCGAGCTTATGTCGCAAACACACCTGGAACAAAATTATCTTATATCCTCAATGTTTTTGGCGTATTTTATTAAACGCGTCATAGCTTGTGCGTATGAACAAAGAGAAAAGATAACAAAACATATTTTGATAATAAATTGAGCATATATCTCTGAATACCCTGTATCGCATCGAATACTGATCGTTCACATTTCCGTTTTTGATAATTAATTTTATCTCATTGCTTTTATAACATTAACAAAGAAGGACAAGAGCTGATTTTTATATATGCTGAATGAATAGGATTATGAGATCTAATGTCTAACAATTAATGAAAACACAACTTCCGTAATCACTGAAGTATTCTCGTTGATTAAATCGAACCTGAATGAAGACAACACCGAGGAGAACGAACCACGAGTAGCCACCATCTGGAGCTGTTGGTCCGAGCTCCGGGAACGAACTGACAACCTCGTCGAGATGAAGTCGCCCGACGAGCGACATTTTCCCGGTTGCGTTTGTGCTAGACAACAGGCGAAGCTCAATACAAACTCGTGCGAAAAATGGTAATGATGAAAGCGATAGAAAATTCTTAAACGCTACACTCTTTGCTGTTTCGAACAAATAGCAGTCATTAAGGCAGCTTGAAGTGTACTCTGTAAATGTGCACGGTATCTAATCTTGGCTAAGGTGTCGTCGCACCGATAGCCGATGATAAGAAGGCAAAATCGTGTTGGTCGCACTTGCTGGACCTTAACACCTACGCACATCCCAGGAATTTAATTCGCGCTTGATTAATCCGTTATTTGCTACAAAAATTTATCTACTAATGTGCTGATATAAACATTATCTATCTATGAGACGCTGAAATAATAGTTTCAAGGGAGAGAGAAAGAGAGAATAGTAATAAATAACATTTATTTATAAACAGATTATACATCGTAAAATTAAGTAAAATGCCATGATATTAATTACAATTTTTTTTTATAATATCGCACTCGGTGACTTTATGTAATATCTAAAAATACGTCATCTAATTTCACGCACAGCTGCGAACGCGTATAACGTCGAACGGTACATAGCGATACACGAATTGCTTAATTTAGCATAAAATGACGTGATATCGATGAGGTTACGATCGAAAACATTGTACAAAGTTTTTTTCGCGTAAAGCACGTTGCGATCTTTAACTCGTCCATTGCTTTTAATCTCAAGATTGGATGGGACGGATAAACGAGTTCGCGAACTCGTCTCTTCACGAAATGAAAATGTTTTATTTCAAATACAAGTTTTCCTTTTATACATCTTCGCGAGCATCGCCACTCGCTATCGAGGTGTATCGCACTCTCTTGCTGACTGAATCGAGCACCGGCTCGATCTTCTTCTGGAGTTTCGTCCGTTGTAGATAGACCAGAGCGCATACTAGGGCGATCAGCACCATCGAGAGGAAGCAAAGTATCACGGTTGTTCCTCGTCGGGTGGAACCTAACAATTTCGGTGTGCAATCCTTCGTTTCGTGAAAGTCGTGACTTGTATTTCCTAATAAAAAAGCAGAAGAATGTAAATTTCGATCCTCCGTATGTAAAAAAAAAAAAAATTAATATTCGAAAGTACCTTCGTAGCACTGTAAGCTAGCCTTGTTTCGAACGAACACCCTCGTCTTTTTTATCCATTTGATGAACGGATTGAGCTTGCAGGAACACTCGAAAGGATTACCGGTAAAGTCCACGGTCACAGACCGATCGTGCTTAGCGAGATTGTCCATGATATGGAGATCGCGCTCGAGGACCCTCGTGAATTTATTTCGTCGAAGATCCAAGAAGCGCAGATTATGTAGACACGACAGATTAAAGTGAAGCGCACTCAGAGCGTTATCGCCGAGATAGAGATCCAGGAGATTCGGTAGATCGCAGAATACGTTGGCGTCTCGAAACTCCGAGATCTCGTTTTGCTCCAAGTGAAGTTTTATCAATTTCGTGAGATTACTAAAAAAATAAATTAGAAAAAATATTACATTTTCTTTTACATTTTCTTTTTCTCTCTTTTTCACCTATTGACGAAGATGTCGTGAAGCGTCGACGCCAGATTCCTCGGTGGGCCGTCCTCGAAAGCGTCGGTTAGATGCAGCTCCAGAAGGGAGACGAAATTGGAGAACACTCTCGGATGGCTTCTCGCGGGGTCCAACGAGAGCTCGTTGAAGTCGAGTATGAGACGCTCCACGTGTTGCACGTGGTGATAGGCCTTGCCGCGGATTTCGCGTATCTTGTTGTTCGACATATCGATCACTCTCAGATACGGCAGGCTGTCCAGAGTGCCAAACACGTTCCACGGCAGTTCCTGCAGCTCATTTCCCGTAAAGATAAGCACCTAATAAGTCGAAAAAAAAAAATACAACGTTACGCCATGTATATCACGTCTCCTTAATCTTATCTACGCTACGCACTTGCGTGTCGTTGGGAAGATGCGCCAGAGGAGACGTATCATGGAAGCCTGCGTTCGTGCAATTCACGACGTACTGATGATGGCCGTCGTAGCACGTTCTCAGACAATGACAGCGATTTTTAAAAGCCGGGCCGCACTCGATCCTGGATGATTCCGACGTCTCCAGAGAGTGAAAATTCGGATCGTTGCAGTCGTTGATCGATCCGGCGATCGACACAGATATGAGTAAAAATATCGAACAAAGAAGGATGGTTCTCATCGTGGCTGTTGACGATGACGTTCAGACGGTCTCACGGGTTCGGAGTGATTTCGGGCTTACATTTATGAACATTCGACTGAGTGTGCCGCTCGGGATTTATCAGTCAAGAAGATCTTCACGCATATCACGCTCTTTATCTATAAATATAAATTCATATAGAGTCATACGTGCAATCGTCGAACTAGCTATTTTAAAATGAGTAAGAAAAAACGAAGGAAGGGGCCTCCTTTTTATATCTAATATGATCGATACAAGCAAGACTCGCAAGCAATTCTAATCGCTTCACGTTTGAACAGCTCAATAGTTAAACAGAGATGATACTTAGATCATAAATTCACGCGATTGCACTCCGACGTTGCGCCGTTGTATCTATCGGCAATTTAAAGTTTTAATTTCGAAGTAGGTCGTTCAATCATATCTTCGACGCGGAAAAAAAAAAATATTAAACTGGCTCACCCACGCGATAGGTGATGTCGAGCAAGAGGAAAACCGCCTTCGCGCTAGACTCTTTTGGATATTATACAGACGACATGAAATATATCACGCGTGCGATTACGCAGCGTGATATGTGACCGTGGCACGGTTACACTTGGCAGCGTTGGCATTGACAAAAAACACATTAAAATTACGGCTGTGATTGATAATCACAAATGAAGGCAGACGTAGAAAGCAAACGGTCAATCAACTTTATTTTCCGAGTTTTAAATAAAACCAACGGTTTTCCTCCTTCAATCGGCATCCCTATTAATTAATTAATAAAGCGTAAAAATTTCGTGCTTGTATCGCGATGGTATCACTTTATAAAAAAATTTCGTTTTGATATAATTAGTCAAGCACGCGTTTATTTATTCGATATCTGATTACACGCTCCGCTCTGCGCGCTTCAAATTTCATCATCTACTAAGCCGTGCAGGAAATTTCTAAGTATTGAAAGATCTCATTTATTATTCCTCCCGCATGCCGAAGGAAAAAAGAAACTCGTGGATCCCCGTATGCTCCGAAACAGGGAGTACACCGTCGAATTGTGCATTTCACGTTACGAAAGAGAGAAAGAGAGATCTGTCCTGCGAACAACACCGACCAGAAGCACACACCTCGTTTCGGTAACTCGCACCAAAAATTTTCGGACTCCAGGAAAAAGAGATCGTCGTCCCACGCGATCGTCCCGTGCGTAGCACTTTCGGAAGCGGCGAAATGCGGTGTAACATGCAAAACGGCGGATTCTCGGAGAAGAGGAAGGACAGGAAGCGGACGCTCCTGTTCTCCGCGCCACGACGGACCGCACAGCATTGCTCGGCCGTGCTTCATCCCGACCGCACCTGCGGTCCCGCTCCCCTCCTCCTGGGCCCCTTTGCGGGCCCCCAGGTGCATGCAAACCGGCCCCCTCCTCCAACGTTTTTTCCCATTACTCCTCGTTCCCTACGCTTTCTCGCTCTCCTTGTGTGATCGCCTCCTTCCGATCTTTCCTTTCTTTTTCTTCTTCCTTTTCGCAGTCGATCGCACGCTTGCTCGTTTCGTTCGTTCTGCTTGGAGCTCATCGTTATTAACGACTTGCAACGTGTTCACTGGATGAGGACTCGCGATTAGAAGTGCGTATTGTGTAGCGTCAACTATGTAAAATATAATTCAAATGAGGTTCGATGAAAAATTCAATTTTGGAATTATTTCACATTACAGAGACTTTTATTAAATTATCTCTCTCTATTATTATATTTTTATTAATTATTACTCTATTTTTATTAAATATTACTTTTTTATAGCCTATTTTTATTTTCATCGTATCACAATTTAAACATTTTCCTCGTTTGACATTTGTAAATCATACTTCATATAATAAAACATGCATGCAGTTTTTGTAAAAAAAAGTATTTTATTCTTATTAATCCCAGTAAGCAAAATGCGCGGAATATGCCAACAGATTGGCAACAGATTCATTCATATCAGAAATTACTAGTAAATTGGCATCTGTTACGTCCATATTAGGCTTATAATTTGATCCTATTTAGTGTTCAATGCACATTACGTAACGAGATTGTCTTTATTTTACATATATTGCGATATCCAATAGGGGTCAATGTATTTTCTAAGAGTTTCGAACACTATTTTTGTTTCCATAATAATTTTATTTTATTGTTTGATGATAAAACGTAAAATGGAAAAGAGTTATGTACAATGTTGCATATATATAAGAGAATCTCGATAATACTTTGTAAAATATATTTTGTAATTTTTAAAAATCTAATAAACTGTATTATTAATACAAAACACATACGTTTTCTGAATCAACCTACCCATCCATTCCCAACTTGTTGTGCCACACATACCTCTTTGTTAATTATATATTTTTGTAATACTTTGTTGCCTATTTTTCGTTCTTGGAATTTCTGAAACTGCGTTTCTTTAACTCAAGTATCAGGAAAATATAATCAGCAAAGAGGTGGCATGAATTAAAATTCAAAGAACTGCGAAAAATTGAAGTTTCGGAATTCGCAAAAGTATCAGGAGAATATATTCAGCAAGGAGGTGGCACAAATCAAAATTTTAAAAAGCGCAAAAATTTAAAGTTTCGAAATTCGCAAAAGTATCAGGAGAACATAATCAGCAAGGAGGTAGGTAGCACAAATCGAAATTTTAAAAAGCGCAAAAATTTGAAGTTTCAAAATTCGCAAAAATATCAACAGAACATAATCAGTAAGGAGATGGCGCAAATCAAAATTTTTAAAAGCGCAAAAATGTGAAGTTTCGGAATTCGCAAAAGTATCAGGAGAACATAATCAGCAAGGAGGTAGGTGGCATAAATCGAAAATTTTAAAAAGCGCAGAAATTTGGTTTCGAAATTTGCAAAAGTATCAGGAGAACATAATCAGCAAGGAGGTAGGTGGCACAAATCGAAAATTTTAAAAAACGCAGAAATTTGAAGTTTCGAAATTCGCAAAAGTATCAGGAGAACATAATCAGCAAGGAGGTAGGTAGGTAGCACAAATCGAAAATTTTACAAAGCGCAAAAATTTGAAGTTTCGAATTTTGCAAAAGTATCAGGAGAACATAATCGGCAAGGAGATGGCGCAAATCAAAATTTTAAAAAGCGCAAAAATTTGAAGTTTCGGAATTCGCAAAAGTATCAGGAGAACATAATCAGCAAGGGGATGGCGCAAATCAAAATTTTAAAAACGCAAAAATTTGAAGTTTTGAGATCCGCAAAAGTATCAGGAGAATATAATCAGCAAAGAGGTGGCAAATATTAAAATTTCAAAAAGCGCAAAAATTTGAAGCTTCAAAATGTATAAAGGTTTTTTTTTTTTTTTTTTTTACGAAGGAAGAGAAAAATGCATTATGCATCCCCACCGGCCGGCCCGGTGGGGTATGCGGGACTCGCACCCGCTAAAAAACTCTCCCTGTAGGGCCAACTTTTAGCTTTCCGCCGATACTTACAAATTTCAATTCTGAGATAGCGGGAACATGATAGGCAAGAGAGATAATACAAATAAAAACTTCAAATTTGAAATTTTAAAAACTCCAACATTATTTTCTTTTCTCATTTACAGTATAGTGAAAATTATTATCTAAATATTAATTGTTCTTATAAAACATTTCTTAATTTTTACAAATAATTGCTGTATAAGTTATAAAAACATCTAAGGAGAAAAAATCCATATATATTTATCTATATATATTATGAAATTCGATATATATAAATATATATGAAATATGTCCATAATGTTCTTATATTCTATAAAGAATTCAAGCTTCAAGCGAAGAAAAGGACAAACTCTGATAAACAATTAGACAACTTGAGAAATAGTCGGATATCCGTTAAATGTTTTATTCGCCATTCTTTACATTAAATCATAATTAAACACTATCATAAAGGTAGTATCTTTATTTAGAGAACGGCATATATGCTGTATGGAAAATGGAAGTTCATTCGTGGAATACAATTGTTTCAATTTCACGATGTATAATAACAGCGAAAGCGCAAATAAACTTTTAATCGTTACAATCGGAATCTTACGTTTTATTCTTGCACGCGCAAGTGCAATATAATTTTACATTTATAGATTTATTTAATATTTTTATCTCTTATATTAAACGGCAGACAACATTTAAATGTGATGTGTACAAATATACGATTCGCGTTGAAACATATAAACTTGCAAAATAATCGATAATAGAATACTCTGATCAGAAATCTGTAAAGAAAAAATTTGTAGTACATGCGTATGTACGTATTTGTGCGTGTATGTGCGTATATACGAGTATTAATACAGAATCGAAAGAGTACTGTACGATCTTTAGTCAAAATATGTATTGCTATTACACGCCGTTTCGTATTTTTTTACATACAAACAACAATTACACTTTGTGTTAAAATTTTTTTATATAACATCGATAATTTCGTTGCCTACTATAGAATTATTTATGATTTATTTAAACGGCGAATATATATCGAGTCACAATGATTTAACAATTGATTTGATCGCGAATTTTAGCAACCTCTAATTTAATCACCTCTTTGGATTTTCGCTCGCGACAATTATTAGGATGACCAAAAACTTAAATTCAAACCAAAAATTTTTAGATTGTTGCTCAATTTTTTATAATCAACACTTGGCAAAAATCTTAATTACAATAATGCGTACATTATAAATAATTATATAATGTACATTAAACATTCAAATGTATATTTTAATTTTTATAATATACAATGCACCTTTAAATCATTGCATGTAATCAGTCAAACGTTTATTAATAAAAATGAAATTAAGAAAGAGCACATATATTATATAGATATAGCATATCAAATATGACACAAAGATTCGAAGACTATTTAGACTCTTATTATATAATGGTATAAAAATATTGATATTTTAATAAAACGCTGCCTGAAAGACAATGTTTTCGGTACAATAATATCAGCTGCAATTAATACAATTTACAATTAAAAATTGGACACATTACTACTCATGTAAACAGAGGAATAAGCAGTACTTTTTAAAAAACTGGCGGTAACGGTTACTGCTATATTTCATAGAACATATATAAATATAATCGCGTTATTAATATATGTATACATATAAAAAATAATATATATAAAATATAACATATATCATGAGACAAAGCAAGTAAATTGATACATTAATATTAATCATTTCTATATAGACTAGATACTATAACGATTGCGCTGCAGATTAAAGTACATCAGGAGCTACTGATGATATCGTAAGTATGTTGATGTTTTTTCATTCATTTTGATTTACGAGATTAAGCGTCGAGAACATTAACAAATGTAAGACATGAGGATCGATATACATTATTAATTTAATATCTTTTAATGTGAGATTTCTGTACTCAGATTATTAAAAACTATAGTTGAGTAAGATTAGTTAAATAAAAACACAGCTTTTAATTTATTGGCGATTAAATGAGATAAAATTAGAACTTATAATAATGCAGTTTAATATTGTTTAAAATATTAAACACAAGCTAGTAAGATAAATATATCAGATACAACAAAATATGTGTGCTTTTTGTCGTAGAAATAATATTTCTATAATATTTCCTTCATATTATGCGATTTTCACTTTAAAATACAATTTTCACTTTATATATCAACGCAATGCGCTAGTTTGGTTTACTACTTTGGCCCAAAGAAAACCTAACTGATTTGTAGGTACCTTGTGAAAGATATATATTAAATGCTTATATATATATATATATATAAGTCTTTAAACTAGAAAAGATATATATCTGTATATAATAGAAGAGCATTCTTATTTTGGCAGTAATCGGAAAAACCGAATATAAAATGTTCTCATTCAAACATTAAATTTGCGTTCTTCAATTAATTTGTCTTTTGCGCGCAAAAAAATCAAGATTCTCTTCTTGAGTATATATATTATATCGGCATATATATATATATATAAAAGATATACAGATGTGTAGATGAAGGATTGAGAAGGACTGAGATAATATTAAAATTCGATAATATCGTGGAAGTAAATGTAACCGATATTTAAAATGTTTAGGAAGCATTTATCTAATCAGACTTTTTTCTGCAGTACTGCTGTTGCTCTCAAAAATCTTTTTTGAATGACTTATATACACTTATCTCAAATGATTATATTTGCACCAATTTAAATCAAATAGTATAAGCCTATTCAAATTAATGCAAATATTTCATTAATTTTGCCTTATCTTTTATCCAATAGCCTCAATTTCTTGCACGGATATAATCTTTCTTTGAATTTTATGTACATGTCTCAATAAAGATTACATACATATAATTATATTTCAATTTAAAAAAGATACCTGTGTGCACAATTTATCTTTGTATCCTTTTAAGATAAATAAATCAAAAATTCGATATATTATATTATTCATGCTGGTATGAATTATTTCTTACGTTATAAAGATAAATTGTAGATCAATATTGTAAAATGCATCAATATCAAGTTATTTACAAAGAAATAAAATTATAAAATGATGCTATCATATTATATATGTATATATATATAAGATCTTGATTTGGTCCCAAAATAACGCGTACCAATTCGCACAAGATGATGATACAGTCTATGAAATAGTTATCCAACATATTTTGTAACAATTAGGAGACTATTTCGGCCACCCGGTATGATCAAATGTAAAACATATTGGCACGGAAAAATGAAATTTCGATATTCTCCGTACGGCATTACTGGGACATGGGAGGGAATTCAGCAAGACAGAGATTCTTACGTGATATATACGATACATCAGTTTAAGCTTTGTATCTGTCCGACGCACCGCCTTCGCAGCAACAAATTAAAGCGAGTATCAAACCAAAGATTTCTACGATCAGAACCAGTATTGCCATAATCATAACGTGATAAGTTTGACCTTTCAGCGTGTCCACCAATTTTTGCGTGCATCCCTGTAATAAAAAATGTTTTCATCTTATCATACTTTATAGGTGTTTAATGCAATATATGCGTGTAGAACATTATGCAACAGATATAAAATTATTAGAAATATAAAAGTAAGCGTTACCTCGCTGTAGATCGCAGGGCTCGCAACTCCGGCAATTTTCATGTTGCGTCCCTCATCACAGATAGTACTCCCTATATCTCTGCAACATGATTCTGGTACTTTGAATATGTTGTTGGCATCGCTAGAGACAGTCAAACTAATTGGAAGAGAGGGATCCTTGCTCGCGTACTTGCTACCGGCCCAATCCGCAGGTCCAGTGGCTCCGCAGCATTCAAGACCGGATTGAATCGCGTCCATGATTTGCGTACGACATTCTACCGTGCCATATTCGTGCTACAAAGATAATGCAACATCTGTTTATGTATGTTCCTAATATACGATTAATTATAAATCGAATAATTACAGGACGAAAAATTACCTTAACAGTGTTTATCACGGAAGATCTCAATAGTTCGTCTAGACGATCGCTGTGAGCGTAAAGCCAGACTGCGAAAGCAATTTGCGCGACGATAACGACGAGCATGATGACGAAGAACGCGATTAGACTACAGCGAGAGTGCTTTAAAGCACCGCAGCAGCCTAGGAAGGCGACGATGAACATGAGGACACCAGCGGCGAGCAGGATATACAGACCCACATCGTAATTGTTGCCTTCTTGAGCAATCGACACCAAGAATGTTTTGTCCGTTAGCATCCATGTTGCCAGGACTATCACCGCTATCGCGATAATCTGTAAAAGTATCTGTAAATGTATTTCGCTTAATAATAATATATATATATATCTATTAGAAAAATATACTCTTATACTCTACCGCTCTTTTTTTGCTTGGATAAAATTTTATTCATAATTTATCTCTGGGAAACTCGAATTCGCGCGACGGTTCTTTTACAATGAAACGCTGTAGTACAAAGGGTACAACTTTTCAAGTACGCACGATCCCAGCAGGATGAGACGAAAGCTAACGAGCCACTTTAACAAACCAAATCCAACACAGAGCAGGACAAGGGAGGACGCAACATTTACAATGGAACAGTCTGTCCGCCAGATGTGGCGGAGCCTCCATTTAAGCACGTGGATTTTTATGGGGTTTCCTGTGTACGCGTCGCGTCTTAAAACGCGTTTCACCGGATACCGAGTTCATGTCTCAAAAGAGATTGTTAACGTTCAAAGTAACCCGCTTTTTCAAGTACTAGTACATTAGTCAATTAGCTTATGTAAATGAATAGGAATGAAAATATATGTTAATACGCGGAATCTCGGTAAAGTCAAATATTTGTAGACGAGAATCCTCTCTGCAAGTAAGAGAGTTAAGAATTGTTGGAATCAAGAATGTTTTTCTCACGGCAAATGGGAACAATATACGGTCTTTATTTGCGAGAAGATAAGATTGAAGAAATGTATTAATCGCAAAAATATATTGATATACGTAACTTTGAAGAAATTGCTGAATCGCGAATTTCGATATTTTCGCGCGTATCAAATTTCCGCTTATGCGAAGAAATAAACGGTAGGAATCTCGAAGATACACGTTTCTTAAATATATATGCGATATCTTTTTAAATTTGTTTTCTGAAATATTTATTTGTAATTGAAAACATGTGAGAAGAATCTCTATTATTTTTATTTTAAGAGAAAATGCTAACTTTACTAAACGCGATAACTTTCAATTTATGTATAACGACAGTTGCATAAGCGTGTAGCTTGAAAAGACTTCCTGTATCTTACTTTTTATTCATCGCGAGTCTATATGCGAGAGGAGTTGATGTAAGAGCGTGCACACAACAACTAAAAGTGATTCGGTGAATCAGACGGATTCCAACGAGCTAATATCAGAGCTAATAGTGATCGGAGTGACTTGAATCTGAAATGTCAACAATCGTTTCTCTTTTCGAGTTGTCATAATTTCATCATGATAAATCTGTGACGAAATACTACGTATACTTCCAGATACAATTAAAAGACGCTCTTTTTCGCTGCGATACTCGTAACAAAGGGAGATGAAAGAGGAGAGAGATACGAAGAGGAGGAAAAAGGAAACGGGGCCGCGACGTGGGACGAAAGTTCGTAGGAGGAACGTGCTCCTTCTCTCTCTTTGAGTCTACAAAACTATATTTAAACACGCATTTATCCAAGATGAATATTTCGTAATTACATATGTCTGGATTTTTTTTACGTTTGTCCGCGCGCGACGAACGCGTTCAGAGAGCTAATAAAGGAAAGAGCTCGTGTTATTAGTGTTAAGTTAATACTTGTTCATCTCGTTGAAAATTACGCGCATATTATTCCAAGGTCTCTTACGTCTTTTCCACGATTCTTCGGTCCACGTTTTATACTTTTGGCCTGCACTTTAAGTCATCATCGATATTTCGGTCTCGGACGCAATCGCCCCCGCGCAATTCGCATTCGTAATCTTGTATTCGTTCATAGAAAATAAATCTCTTCTCCCTCTTTTTTAACAATAAAATTCTAACGGAATGGATAATAAAATTTAATTTTTCTATCGCGACGAGAAGAATTCAATAATTAATCCAACCGTGAATGCTTCTCATTTGCAGACAGTGTAAACGAATCACCAGCATCGCGCATCATAAAATTAACATCGAATCAAAATATAAGCGAAAGGGTATCGCTGATAACGATTGCGAGCTACAAGAAAAGCAAAAAGTTTCGCACGATCTAATTTTTAATTAAAATTTATATACTCTCTCTCTCTCTCTCTCTCTTTCTCTCTTTCTCTACAGTAAATAATATATAATTTATAAAACAGAAACTTGAGAAAGTCGTCTGCTCGCTGAAGAGAAAAAACGTGCGTTCGACAAGGTACGTACCGGTGAATTAAATGGCCCGCGGGTGGAGGGAAAACGCGCGCGTATTGATTTGACAGACAGAGAGAGAAAGAGAGAGACGCGAGAGGGACTCACCAAAAATACGAAGCTCACGGCCACCAGCGCGTACTTGCCGAAGTTGTAGCAAAACGTTCCCATTTTGTTTCTCTCTCTTCGTCGAAATTCTCACGCAGCGAAGGGTAAAAGGGAGAAAGGACGAGATCACGCGACGACGGATTCGTGCGATCCGATTCGCGCGTCGACGCCAAGTGCCAGCGGGAGATCGCACCGTCCTTCCGAGAGATGCGTCTGTGAGCGGAGGGACGCGCGTTCCTCCTCCGCTTTCTCGCAGATGTGCTCCGATTTAACGGATACGCTCCGCTTCCGGCGTTTCTTCGAGTCGATGACAAAGAACAGCGCGATGTTATCGGTGCCGATGCGACCGTTCACTTTTAACCGATAAAAGTCACGCGACGCTCGCAAGATTTTATCAGCTTTTTACAAACGACAATCACAATACACTGGAGCAGACGCCAGATTGTCACTGAGCAGAACGACTGTCGAGCGCTGTTGGCGCTGTCATAGACCAAAGAGATTGCTAGATGGGCATGTGCGGCTGCGAAAAACAAACGTAAGATCATTAAGTATGCGATAATATTGATACGAAAAACATACGAAATTTAATAATGCGGTAAATATCTATACATTATGCAATAAATGAGGAAGGAAAAGGATTTTACAGAAATCGACAAAGAAAAACAAAATTATGTATTAAGATTTTGACGTGTTCAATGAACAAGAGTGTTGAGAGAAAATATCGACGATCGATAAATTATCCTCTCTCCAATCTAACACAAAAAGCGTTTTCAATATGACCGTAAATTTGAATTGCGAAGCAGACTTAATGTATCGAGAGTAGCGACTAGCGACAGCGCTCGATCCATCATTCCTTCTCTCTCTTTCTCTGTGTCGCGTGGTCCGGAGTTGCGCGAATTTTCGTGGGTTCCGGAAGAAACGTATAAATTTTCGGGGGCTTTTGTTAACGCGATTATATTGTCAATTATACGCGTATCGTTCCGTAGTGTCGCGCGCGATGATAAATTGGCGGGAGAGCGCGATGATAATTTTCGCGCCGTGCCGGCTTTCGTTGAAGTCGCGCGACACGACTCCTCCATGTAACCCGCTGTAACCACGTGCTTTGAATATCCTGTCGGCCGTTACATACTGTCGACTCGCTCTCGCGCGCGCGGTGGTGTCCTTTCCGCGACGTGACTCGGCGCATCCGACGCATTTTCGATTTCGCGGATTCACCTTTCTCGGGGCGACGATTAAGATCGTCCCTTACACGAAATACGCAATTATTTTGCGCAGCGAGCCCGAGCGACCCGTGAACGTTTCGTCGCGTCGAATAAAGAAAGGCATGCCGAAATGATCGAGTTCGTGGACGGCTGGTTTTTTGGCCATACCTTGGGCGAAGGAGCCTACGGCGAGTAAGTGTCTTCTTATTTTATGCATTAATTTTTATATTTGTACTTTGTTTCGTGAAGAATATGTTTGCGATTCTCGAATGAGATCCATTGTTCTCATTGTTCGAGTTAGATGTGTTCCGATATTCGCGTCATGTGGTTGTTAATAAAAAGGTTTAGTCAACTTAATACCACTTTTTTTTAATCTCAGGATTTTTACAGGCAACAAGAGTTTATATATTTAGTTAGAAAAATGTGTTATTTAGAATTATAAAATATTGTGTATGTGTAATTATAATTTACTCCATGTGACTAATTGCAGGGTCAAACTAGTCATAAACAAATCTACAGGTGAAGTTGTTGCTATGAAAATGATTGACATAGAGAAACATCCAGATGCAAGTCAAACAGTTCGCAAGGAAACCGCTATTCATCGTATGATGTCAAATCCTAATATTATACAGTATTTTGGAAAGCGCAGTGAGCCTAATATGGAATATATATTTTTGCAGTATGCTTCAGGTGGAGAGTTATTTGACAGGATCGGTAAGATTTAATAAAAAATTGATGATGTAAAATAAACAATGTACAAATTATTTTGTGAAATATTTTAGTGTATAAAGAGATATATAAAAAGTTGAATATAATCTTTACAGAACCTGATATCGGTATGCCAATATGGGAAGCACAGAAGTATTTCAGACAATTAATTTCTGGAGTAGAGTATCTACATAGTCGAGGAGTTGCGCATAGAGATCTTAAACCAGAGAATCTACTTTTAGATGATAATGATAATTTAAAGATAAGTGACTTTGGATTAGCAACAATATTTCGTATGCAAGGGAAAGAACGTTTATTGGAAAAAAAATGTGGAACATTACCTTATGTCGCGCCAGAGGTGCTAGTAAGACCGTATCATGCAGAACCTGCGGATGTATGGTCTTGTGGAATTATCCTTGTGGCTTTACTGGCTGGAGGTAAATTTCCTTTATAAAACTACATGAATATACAGAGTGTTTTAGGAATAGATAACCAAACTTTAGGAGTGTATTCTATTTGTTTTAAGTATAAGAGAAGGTCATATAAATATGATTTGGAAACGCTTCCTTTCTGAGATATAAACACTTTATGTTTACTATGGAGTTTGTCCAATCAAGGTATATTTTTTTGATAAAAGTAAATACTAATAGTATGTATAACCAAACAAATCAACTTTGAAATAGAATCAATATATTAAATTTCAGTAAATATGGAGTAAAATAAGAAATTTTGTTACTTATTTTTGAAACATCCTGTATGAAAAAAAAAAAAAAAAATAATGAAGGCTATTTATGACTTTGATATTATTCTTTAAATCTCTAGATTTATTACAATTATATGTAATTAATTTATTTTGATAAAGTTATCCAAAGTTGGAATTTGTTATTATTATTTTACAATTACAAGTATATGATTGTAACATAAAAGTCAATGTGCCTTCAAATGTAAAATCTATTAAAATATCTAATATCTAATTTACATTTCTCAGTTTTTAACTGGTCCATGTCTGAAATATAGAACTGCCGTGGGATCAGCCTTTGGCAGAATGTCCTGAATATGTTGCGTGGAAAGAACGGAAATATATGTCTCTCACACCATGGAAAAAACTGGACAATTCGTCATTATCATTAATCAGAAAAATTCTTGTGGATTCGCCATCGGCGAGATACAAAATATCAGACATTAAACAACACAGATGGTTTGTCACGAGCTTTATTAAAGGTAGCTTTTTTAGATCAGTACTTTTAGAAAGATGTTTAAAATATCTAGCATAGGTGTATCTTTGTTAATATCTACGGAAGACTAATATTTATGGAGACCACAGGATAGTATTTACTTAGTCAGGTACTGAGTGACTCTGAGTATTAATAAAATTACTCAAAGTAACTCGGTACCTAATTTAGTGGATACTGCATACAACGAATTCTTATCTGTGTCTTAACTGTGCTTCTTTTCTGTGTAAGTTACTTTATGTTAATTAATTAGGTGCACATCACACACGCATACACAGAAAGTATACCATAATATGGTCTTATCATCAATGAAGCTCTTGCCTTTTCTTTGGTAATACAGCTCTATGAGTTTAATCAAGCATCATAAAGCTAGATTACCAAAGCAGAGAGCATTGGCATATACTCCTAGACTGGTATATGTAAATAGCTAAGTTTTATGTAAAATAGTATAAATATAAGAATTTAATAATTTTATCCAAAATCTTGATAGATATTACATTTCCTACATAAGATATTGTTATAAGTAAAATATCCATAATTTATAGGTGATGAAGTAGATGCACGAAGTCATTTGAGTCAGGCATCTACAGAGGACGAAAGTTTAAGAAATGTCTGCTTGTCACAACCTGAATTCCCTCGAACGGATAATGGTAATACAATTCAATTCAATTTAGATGAACGTCCAGCGTTTTCATTTTCCCAACCTGCTCATATGGAAGATCTTTTATTATGTACACAATTACAAGTGCTTACACAGCCCAGTCAGGTACAATACACTTTATTAAATAACGTATCGCGTTATATATCTCGCATAAATAATCCTATAATTTTATATTCTACTTGCAGCAAAATTCATTCCAAAGATTAGTCCGCCGAATGACTAGATTCTTTGTTAAGATAGAATGCGAGGATATTGCAAAGAGATTAATAAGATATTGCGAGAAGGAAAATTATGTTTATCGTGTTAACGAGTTTAGCGTGGTAAGTAAGGAAGATACAGAGTACAAAAATAAACTTGATTCATCAACAAAGAGACATAACGACATAATAAATTATTTGTAGCTCACAATATCGACGATAGATCGGCGAAAAATGCCGCTTGTTTTTAAAGCTAATTTTATAGAAATGGATGGAAATGTACTAGTCGATTTCCGTTTGTCTAAAGGATGTGGTTTAGAATTTAAAAGAACATTCATTAAAATTAGATATGCAATGGAAGACGTTATTCTGAAGAGCTCTGTGGCATGTGCGAAGAATCAATAACAGTGACAGACATAATAGATATAGGATCATGTAATAAAAAATATTTTGTATTTTGTTTTATATATTTTTATAATAAAATTTTTCAGATTTTTTTATGAAAAAATTTTTAATATCTTTTCCTAAAAATTTTTATGTATGTCTGTTATGTATTGTATCTTTCGAAAAAAAAATATATATATATAGTTCTTATAGATATAAGAGAGCTCTATTATCTGCGCGCTGCGGCTGTTTTACCCATGTTTCATCCAAAGTTCTTTATACTGAATTGTAAATTTATGACGAGATGTCGTTAGCATCGTGTTTTGCGTCAGTCATTCGAGGAAGAGACTGAATGAAGCGTACACCGTACATGATGTACAGTAGTGTTCAGTTGCTCGTGGTTGCTTGGCGGTTCGTTCATCATCAAGAGTGACGCGATCGCGTGGAAGAGTGTAGCTGGTAGCTTACGCGGGTATATTTGCAAATGTTCTGAAACGTGTGACACATTATTCCGCAAAGTGTAGCCGAGTTGTTGAACGAGCTAGAATGATGACGATAAACGCGGATCTGCGACGTGAACGTGAGAAATGCAGCTTCGATCCCATAGAGCTCACGCACTTCTGGGACGGCGATCCGGAGAAAACGTCGCAGCGGCGTGAGCGAGGTGTGTCATCTTCGTTGATTAAAATTCACGCGGAAATTCACGCGTTATACGTTTTCGCTCACTTCGTGGCATTCCCGCGTTTATTCAATAGTTACGGCGATCGCCCGACTATTGAGATTGGAGATTATCCGAGTAACTACACGAGAAAAGAGAGATTGAATTCCATACGCGCAGGTACTGCGTTGTGTGCAAGCTCTTATCAGTTCCCTTTCACTATATATATCTCTCTCTCTATCTCTCTTTCGCTCGCACAGTCGCTCGTTGCTTCATAAAATGTAGTGGACGTTAATTTTATTTTATCGAAGGGAGAGATTAAAAATTGTCGCTGTAGTATAGTATTTACTACGTCAATTTATTTATGTATATATATGTTTCGTAATATTTTTTATTAACATGATATACGAGAGGAAATAAAAAGGATAAAAATACGTATGATTTTGTAGTGATATATGGCGACAATAGAATGATCACTTCACACCGATAAAAATGATGAGTAGTAAAATCTAAAGATTCGCATTAAAATGTGAACTGCTGAGAGCTGCGTCTACAGACACACACATATAAACAGCTATATAAGCATCGCAATGAAACTGTAATCGCTTATAATTTTTTTTTATCTGCAGTCTCGCATATCCGATTAATAAAATGCAGAGACGAGAAACTGCAACAAGAAAAAGATTGCTTTTTTTCTTTCTTTCTCGTTTTCCTCCAGTTGATTACGATACGAATACATCATTCTCGATCTGTTTTCCACGCGATAGTCTCTTTCGATAATAAAATATTGATTTAATAATTCTTATAATGCGATAATAATGTTATCGCTTTAAAGGATTATATTTGAATGCAATATACGTTATTACAAGTGTTCTACCAATTTGAAATATGAACAGATATATAAGCAGATTTATAAAATATTTTTTTAACACCAGAATATTCTACAAAGATTAGAATATTCTACATAGACAATATTCTACAAAGATTAGAATACATAGATAATTCTATAAAAATATCCCCAACGTAGTATAATTATTGCTAAACAAAATAGTCACACTGAAAAAAAAAAGTTGTTAACTTGACTAAATGCGTTCAACTGATTATTATTTCTTTAATTGAAATATTTCATTAGTATGTACATTTTCTAAAGATAACAGAAAATGGACTTTTGTTATACTTTATTAATCTTTATTATCCATTATTATCGAACACGATAATAGTAAAAGAGCTATTTAACTTAACGCATTTGTTTTGCGAGAACGAAACTATTAATTACTAAAAATAAGAATTTTGAGAAAGAGTTAAAAATATTGTATTTCTGTCACTGTGTGATAACTGATATTATTTATTCGGTTAATTGATCTTACACAATATAATACGTCATATAATAGCGCGTGAAAATAATTTACCGTATCATGCTAAAGATTATCGAAAACTAAATATTTTACGAGATATTTTATTTTTTATATCAAAATATGTCAGATTAAAATATAAAATAACTCAAAAAGTACTTAATAAAAAAATACTTTATTATAGTGTTTCGAAAAGCTCTCGAGATAAGCTGCAAGAATATGCAATAAAAAGTAGGCAATTCCATTTAAAAAATTCAATTTGACCTTGATCTGACCTTGGCAACGCCATCCATATATATATATATACTTATATAAGCGCTATGATGAATATGCAAATGCCTTGCTATCTCTTAGATCTAATCTTATTGAAGACTTGTATCTTTTACACGCCGCGATATTTTTAAACTGACAGACAACAAATAAATATGCGGAACAGTTAAGTTTTTATATGAATGCGCTCAATGTTCAAAGTAAGATTAGACAGCTGAAATATATATGTTCATGCTTTATTAGTGGACTTTATAATTAAGTGTCATATGATTACTGTTGATCCCATCGTTAATAATAATGACGCGAATTGAGATATGCGAATGACTTGCAGAAAAACATAATTATTCTGCAAATAATAAAAACAACTAAATTAAATCGATTGAAAGCACATTTCTCCTGTTGATTAACAAGATTATTTTCAATGCTTTGTTTGGCAAAAGCAAAGTAAATTTCCGATATCGAAAAATATGCGTGTCCAATGTTTCACCCAAAGATTCTTAATTAAAGTATCTTTAATTAAAATTTAATTATAAATTTAATTCGATTAAAAAAAAAACAGCTCACGCGTGTAATATGTATGAAAAATAAATCACATAATATATATCTGTCTATGGTATAATTTCGCAATTTTATATTAATTTAGAATTATTGAAAATGAATCGATAATATTTGTAATGCGTGCATCAAATTAGCAAAAACGTTACATTAGCTTTTGATAAAATACCAGTGTAAAAATTCGAAGACATTATTCTCTACCTCCCGCCCTTCCCCCCATCCCCCCTCACTGTCTCACTCTCTCTCTCTCTATTTTTTAACTTTCAAAGAAAGCTACATGTACTATGTATTATTTTAATGTATCAATTTAATCACATATACTTTGCATAGTTTGTATTGCTGCCACGCGCATAATTTATTCGTATATATTAATGATCTAATTTGTATACAATATTGTTCTATTTTGATATTATTTTATATTAATTCAAAAAGTTCATCAAATCAATTTCGAGTAAAGTGATTCAAGCTAATTATTTGCAGAGGACTTTTTCCTAAGCGATCCGCTTCTGCATGATAGAATTCCTGCAAAATATAAGAGTCATAAGGAAGTTTACGAGGAAGCGATAATGAAGGGATGCCGTGTGATAGAAAAGGTGCAACAGCTACATGAGTCAGGAAAAGGCGGCATGGATGTTTTTTCGTAAGATATTTATGCGCATGTTAAATAACGTAGAGTTCTATTTTGTTGCTGAAAAGAATAATATTAAATAAAATATAAAAAGTTTAATGATTTGTGAAAAAAAAAAAACAATTATTTAAATAAAGAATTCATCCACAAGAGAGTATCATTCGATAGAAATGTTTGTGGCGTTTCGTAGACAAATTTTAGGAGGCATGTTAGGCTCGGCGATACTAAAAGACGGTAACCCGTTGACGCTTCACTATGTCATGTTTATACCGGCTATCATGGGACAGGGCACCGTCGAACAGCAAAGCTACTGGATATCCAAAGCTTGGACTTGCAATATTATCGGTACTTATGCACAGGTATGTTTCTGCAGCCATATGAATTATGATAACAGAAGCGAGAGGAATCATTTAAGAATTTTTTTCTTGTTAAAAATATGTCGAAATTAATTAGTTTTTTTTTCATATGCCATCGTTGGACATTTGATCATATTGATTGGTAAAAAGCATTAAAAATTCTTTTTTATAATTATCTTAATATTATTAATAAATGCTCATCCAGATCTTGTAATAATCAATTTTACAAGATTTACAGTTGGCAATTAATTTTTGGAAAACGCGGTCGGTTAACGATTATATAAAAAATTTATTTCTTTTGAATATATATTGCGAAAAAAATGTACATAATTTTTCTCGTTTTTGATATCTTCATTCAATTTGTCTGCAATGATGGACCAGAAGCATTCTTAATCATGAAATTATATAATTTTCGATGTTTATAATATATATCTTTTAAAAAATTGGTTAATCCAGAAAATGATATGATCTGTTATTCTTAGACGGAGCTTGGTCATGGCACGTTTATTCGAGGCTTAGAGACTACAGCGACTTATGATCCCGAAACCAAAGAATTCATATTAAATAGCCCTACTCTGACATCATATAAATGGTGGCCTGGTGGTTGTAAGTATTTTTCCTCAAATATATACTAATATCCGCGAATCGTGCGCGCGCTTTATATAGACTCATGAAAAAAAAAAAATGCTTTCAGTGGGTCATACGGCGAATTATGCAATTGTCGTTGCGCAATTATACACGAAAGGAGAGTGCAGGGGTATCCATCCTTTTATCGTGCAACTAAGAGAAGAGAATACTCACGAGCCTTTACCAGGTATGTTCGCACACATACGCGCTTTTTTGCGATGAAAAATTTATATATTTTGTTTCTCTCTCCCGCTTTACTTAAATTGATCGAAAAATTTATATATGAAAAATTTGTTTTCGTTTTAGGTATAAAGATCGGTGAAATCGGCACCAAATTAGGAATGAATGCATCCAACAACGGCTTTCTCGGCTTCGAAAATGTGAGAATACCGCGCGAGAATATGTTGATGAAGAACTCTCAGGTAACGGAGAAAGTAAATCGTCATGAGCTGTTTAATAGAAAATGTAGAAAATTTCAACGATTTAATTTTCTCTGCATTTTCAGGTGTTGGAAGATGGAACCTATGTGAAAGCGCCTAGTGATAAACTCACATATGGTACAATGATGTTCGTTCGAGTGGTATTAGTACGTGATATCTCTAACTACTTGTCGAAGGCGGTGACTATAGCTATTAGATACAGCGCAGTGAGACGACAGAGTCAAATAAAACCCGAGTACGTAAAGTGTGATAAGAGACTAACATATTCATATAGAATGATATCTCGATACATAATGATTTTGACACGACGAGCTTTTTTTTGGTATCTTGGTTTACACATTCAAAAGACAATTAATGTATAATACTCATGTATAATAATTGGCAATGCATACTCCTGATATAAATACTTATGTATAACAATTGGCACATGTATTCGGAATATTGAGAATAAGTTTTAAACGCTGCAATAGCCTTTTTTTAATTTTACAACCGGATATCAATCTGAATTTTAAAAGATATTTTATTTCTGTTTTTTTTTTTTTTTTTTAAGATACAATACATCTGCAATTCACATTTCATGGTTAATGAAATAATATTTTGTCAAAAGTTATATATCTTATGGCTCCTGTGTTCTCACTGCAGCCATATTGAATTATGACTACAGTGAAGAGACAGGAGTTTTAATGCATAATTTCAGAAAGCTTTTTAATTTATTTCAGTGAGCCAGAAGCACAGATTATAGATTATGTCACTCAACAATACAAATTATTTCCCAATCTTGCTGCGTGTTTCGCGTTCCGAATGTGCGCCGATTGGATTTGGGAGATGTATAACAATGTGACGGCTGAGTTGGATCAGGGAGAGCTAGAAAGACTTCCTGAGGTGTGCAAGAGTCTTTTTTATACACTATTAAAGAAATACAAATTATATATATTACATAAAAAAATAATTTAGTTTTACGTGGTAAAGTTGATTTAGGAATTAGAGATATTTCTCTCATTTTATATATTAATGAAAAAAGAAAATTGCTTTTTAGTTGCACGCGTTGGCATGCTGTCTAAAGGCAGTTGCATCATCAGACGGAGCAACTGGCATAGAACAATTACGATTGGCGTGTGGTGGGCATGGTTACATGGATGCTAGCAACTTGCCGGGGACTTATGGTTTAGTGACCGCCGTCTGCACTTATGAAGGTGAAAATACGGTTCTACTACTGCAAACGGCTAGATATTTAATGAAAGCCTGGAGGCAAGCGGTCGGCGGACAACCATTACCACCGACCGTAGGATATTTAGTTGTTATTTCGCGTGGAGTAAAACAGCGCCCTTGGAAAAACACTTTAACATGTATCGTGCAAGCACATCAAGCAGTTGCGGCAGGGTAAAACATTTTATCGCTATACATAAAAAAATCACATTTGCAAATAGAAGTTTAACATAGCACATATCTCAGGTTAATTTCGCAATCGTAATTTGTAATATTGCTTGTAGCAAAATTCGCCAGGCAACGGAAAATATGGATCGCAGAATACGTAGCGGTGCGTCGCCGGAAGATGCGTGGAATCAAACCAGTATTGAGTTAGCACATTGCGCAGAGTCACATTGCCGAGCTTTCCTAGTGATGAGATTCGTCGAGGCCGTAAGAGGATTGACCAATGTCTCCAAGCAGTTGCACGAAGTTTTAATGCAACTTTGCGAATTGTACTCGATATACTGGGTCCTGCAACGACTCGGGGACTTTTTGCGAGTCAGTATCATATATATGTATATTCTTATAAAATTAAGATCGCTGCCATAATTTTGCTCAATATTGAATATTGCGATGCTTTTTTGTATAATAATACAACGATGCATTTTATAATTACAGTTTTCCTGTCTGAATAACGAAGACATCCCGGCGCTTCAAACGCGCTTCGAAGAGATGCTCGCCGCGATCCGTCCAAATGCAGTTGGTATCGTCGATGGATTCGATATTCGCGACGAGATCCTCGCATCCGCACTCGGCGCGTACGACGGAAACGTGTATCAGCGTCTCTTTGACGAGGCAATGAAGAGTCCGTTGAATCAAGAGAGCGTGAACCAATCCTATCATAAGTATCTCAAACCTTTTCTTAAAAGTAATTTATAGTCAAATATTCTGTTCTTATCACAAAATAGTCAACTACAACCATTCTATTATAATAAATAAGTTTGTGTATGAAAAAAACTGCAAACACTTTTAAATACGTACCAGAATGATTTGCACAACTTCGTATGCAAAACGTATTATATGTCGTGGATTTTATATGGTGATTATATTTGCAAACACTGCAGTAAGTTTGCAAGAACTAATTTTGCGCGCGTAACGAAAATATTCTGGCTTTTTTGTGATATAACAAATCATGATCGCACAATATATTATATTATGTATTAGTATTATATATATTCTATGGAATTATTACATTTCATGTTAAAATGTTTGTCTTTCAAAAGATTTTATAATTCATTTTATAAAAGATTTTATAATTTAGATTTTCAAAAGTTTTTATATAACATTTTAACAGAAGCGTTTAAAGCATATAATGCAAATATATTTGTCTATTATATAATCGATATTCGATATTAGCAAATAAATTGTTTCGTATAAAGTGCTTTATACGTTCATAAACTGATTATAAAAGATTGATATTTTTGATAATGATATTTCATAAAGTACACGTGTATATATATATATATATATTGCATATATAAATGAGGACATATGTGCACAATATTGTTTTATGAATAATAAGCTCACCTTGGGACGCATTAGTAAAACGAAAGTCTAAGTTTTACAGTTAAATGTCCGAGTATGTATTTATATACAGATTCACCTTCGCAATGGTGCTCAAATATCATGGTAATTTAACATGTGTCTCGAAGGCGCCAATATATATGTATTTTCGTATGCAAATAAAATTAAATAATCTTCCTGTTATATCCTGGCATGTATGGCTCTATAAAATTCCTATAAAATCTACGAATCAAATGGAAGCGAGACGCTCATATCTCGAAGAAGTTTTCCAATGCGTTTCCTTAGACGGTACAGTATTTATTTACAGAATAAGAGCGACGACATACATTATTGTTTGTTATTATACTAATGTAGTGCAATTATTAATTTTTCCGTTAATTAAGAATAACGTAATATAAGTACCCGCAATAGCGGTAACACGAATGTTTCATACTTGTTAAAAGCTATTCATGTCTTGATTTGTCATTATGCGATTACGCAAATAATAGACTTTAAATTTCGGAGCAAGGAGAACAAACGCTGAAACGCGCGCGAGATTAAGAATATGTTGATGAAAAACCGAAACAAACAGTTTACCGCAATTGCGAGCGAGTATATATATATATCTATATATTTATATATAAGTACATATACATGTATATACGTATTTTGTGGGTTCGTGCATAGACGGAGATATATACACATATATGTAGTATAGATCGGTATAGGGAACAATAGGAGAAGGATGAGGAGCAGGAGGAGAAAGGTGGCGGTTTTTGGAACGACGATACTTACACTTAAAAAATAACATTGTTAATATTATCATTATTATATTAAATATTAATTATATATATTCACTTTTAAAATTATTTTCATTCGTCCATCTGGCCTATGGGCTTTTTCTTGTCTCTAGCGTTAAACAGACTTCTCATTGCTATAATGATCTTATGGAATTACGTTCTTCTTATAAAATATGATTTCATTACAATTAATTTTTTTTCCCACCTTCGCTTAATCGCCTCTCGGACGTTAATTGGCCGCATGGTGAAACTAGCAAAAGCCGAGGCAGGGGCACACCAAGCGGTCAATTAATTGCTACCTAACGAACAATTTCATCTATATCATGTACGATTATTATTACAATAGAGATTACGAGCCCCAATTTCTAGGTCTTCCCTCGTTTATTTCGCACGGTATAAACGAAATAAAAGATTATCGAGGGGAAAAAAGATGACAGAGAAAGAAAAGAGTACTAAAAATAAAAGTGTGTTGTAAAACGTGGCGTATTTTTAGAAAGTTGAATCTATAGAAAATTGATGTAAAATATTGATGGAATTCAATTGATTTAAAAGAAATCGAAGAGATATGAGAATAATATGAGAAAGAATATCGATTTAAAATGAGTTATGAAAAATATGACGAAAGAATACAGGAATATTTCTTCGATCGTAATCAACATCTAACTATCGTTACAAATGTTCTTATCAGTTGATTCCTATGTATCAAATTTAGATGCACTAAAACAAATCTTTTGATACAAAGTAAATACATAAAAATTTTGTAAAAATTATTTTTCTAAAAGCGTAAATAAAAAAATCTTGATAAAGAAATCTTTCTTTACATACGTACTTAGTATTTTTAACCGATTGAAATATAAATAAATAAAATTGTCACACACATGATATGCGAAAGAGAAATCCTTTAAAATCATGACGTATGTCCAACAAAGATAAATCGTCGTAGAACGCGACAAGTTCGCCGTGGATGTGAGAGGAGAATCACATTATTCTCGGTAATAAAATAAATAAGGCGTTTAGTAGACTTTATACACTTTTTATAGTATTAGCACATTCATACGTAAGAAGCGCGAATCAGCTGAAGAGAAATGAAAAGAGCAAAACTTGAAGGATGATGGAGGAAGCGATTACCATGCAGGATAAAAATAATATGCTGTGAAGTGAGAATGCAATGTGATAATAAGGCGGATCCGTGAGTTTCGTACCAAATCGCTGTTCCTTACGTAGTATATGGCAGTATCGGCATGATATACTTTTAATTACTTCCAACGCGTCTAATCTTCCGTAACGGAGTTGGATTCTGCGAAAAAACGACGCTCGTAACTGTTACGAGAAGAGATTCAAGAAGAGATTCAGAAGAGATATCGATATAGAATAGAGAAGAACACTTTTAAGAGAGAAAGAGATAAACAATAGAAAAAAGACAAAAAAAAAAGGAAATATTGCAAAAATAGAGGAAAAAGAGAAAACATTAATAAACTCTGCGATGCACAGATGGATCGCGTGACGAATGCAGCTGAAAAAGAAATTCGGATACAGATTTGTATCGCTCTTCGCATGTTCCCTTTCGCTTTCTAACGTGACATTATGGCATCATTTTTAATCGTACTAAGGCGTGCGCACTATCATGTCGCTCTCGGGGCAGGAGGAACCACGTGTCGTGCGTGATTGTGCCTCTCGATCGCAGCATCCATTTTATGGCAATGCAATTTCTCGTCGTTGGAATAGTTTTGACGACGAGACGAACAAGACGGGCGAAGATTTATCAACATTGGAACTGCCCTTGATAATAAAAATGGATGTTTTATCTTATAGGTGGAAGGAGGGTGTGTACTGTCCCATTGTCAACATTCTTATCTGGACTTTATGAGCTATTCCTGTTCATCCAAAGTTCGAAACTATTAGATGCATTGAAAAAAGATGAAAAACTTACGGTTCTTAAAAAGAGATTTTCTCCTACATTTTAAGGGCTACATATTTATTTCGAAGTTGAAAACGTCGATCGCGATATTGGAGATGCACGCAAGTACGCATGTTTTAAAAATATGGCACACTAACTGAGAATTCATTTTATTTGCTAAATGCGTGGCAATTAATAATACACAATACGAGAATTTTAATAAAATTTTCTACATGCCTAGAGAATACGCGAAACATTGTGAAACATCACCATTACCGTGAAGAGGTTTTAGTACATAATTCTCGAAGAGGGAGAGGAAAAGAGAGAATATTAAACAGGATTTACAAATGACATCAACGAGATTTATCAGAGCAAAGAGTCAAATTGTGATAAATTTATACACGCGTTCAATTATCGCGAATCTTATTTGTGAAAAATCGCAATATATTTCTCTTGCGCTAAAATTGTGCAAAAAGTTTTCGCTACCAACGAGTATTAAAATTAATAAAAAAATTGAAAGATAGAATTAATTATCTTAAAATAGAAACATTGATCTTATTTTTCGACGTTCTACAGGATACAACGAAATGACATTGAGAGAAGTTACGCGGCGAAAATACGTATAAAATTCTATATAAGTTTCAGAAATAATCGTTATTCCGTAACGATATGTACAGTATCGGCGACCGACCGACTGACCGAACATAAATCCCCTATCACTAAGCAAACTTGCGCAACTTATATAATTCTTAGAAACGTATGTGTGCATAGTGACAAAGCACTTCTCGTTTTCCTCGGAATTTAGATATTGGTCGGTACGGTCGCGCTACGATTAGTAGTAACGCGTATTTTTAATAATAGGCGCCTTTTTTTATTTCCTCCGCGATTGATCCGATCGGTCGATGAGTCCCGCCGTCATTTTCGTCTCTATTGAGACGCGAACGCGCATTGATAGATATAAATTTTCATCGAATTCGGTATTAAACGCTCAGTATCAAAAAAGTGGATATCGTAAATTTAAAAAAGAAAAGAAAGAAGGAACAAGCAATAGCAGCGACGCGGACGAGGTTGCAGCTTAACTCCTCGCCGCTCTTGATGTCGGAGAGAAATCACGGTGCCGCAACGATCCTTCTTCCCTTCCCTCCTTCCACCGGGAGACAGAATGATTAACGACATAGCAACGGCGTTTATCGCCCACGAATTTTCACGCTCTCAGTCCTGTACATGTATATATGTATGTATACATATACGTAAATATATATATACAATCTCGCCGGTTTCAAAGCCGCCGCCGTCGACAATAGCTTTTATCGAGTTTGGAAAAAGTAACGCAATATCTCGGCCTGCAAGCTATCTTAACGACCTTCGCGTGCAACATGGACTTTCTCTCTCTCACACACATGCACACACACACACAATATATATAATATATATATATATATATATATATATTTATACACGTTCTAAATACGCTTGTAAATGCATCTTGGAATTGGTGCAACCTCGCCGACGATGTCTCGACAGGATATATACGAGGGCCACAGTCTCGTCGTTCACTGTCCGTCGCTTCCAATCACCAGCCGGGATGATTACACTCCGAAAAGGATCTTCGGAGAAGGATAGCGAGTGCGGTTAAAATCAGGATATAACGGAAGGGAAAATCTCTGTACAGAGTGCTATAAAGGGTGAATCGGAACGTCAAGCTGAAAAAATTCGGCGTTTGGTGAATGGTCTGTCGGTCGAGAAAGCCGCGAATTGGCCTTGCCTTAAACTCTCTTACTCGCGTGCGCCCTTTTCTTTCGAAAATACGATGAAATACAGCGCGTAAGAAAATACAGTCTCCGACAGTCAAGAAGAGTTCGGGCAGCCGAGAAGCGTACGCGCGAACGTCGTCGTCATCGTCGTCGTCGCGAGCCTAAATGTCAAAAGGGAAGCTCCGGGGGAGAATCGTGAAAAATTACCTCCCGAAAGGGAGGAGAACGCAAAGGATATATGGATATATAGGGTAGATAGGTAGATAGGTAGATTGGGATATGTTGTAACGGGAGTGAGCTACAGAGCTAAGAGCAAGCGAATATCGGTAGGTGCCGAAGGAGAATCCGCGAGAATCGGCCGACGTTCCACGAGCGACGTTCCTCGATAAAAGCCCCGGCATTGCGGGAGAGTCTATGGGCGCGCGCGCGCCATGCGGTTCGCCGAAGTAATCGTTCTTTTTTTCACCATCGACCAGCGGGATTCCGAATGCGGGCGTTGTCGATCGTCGGTGGTCTTTACTCGGCTTGGCATCGTGAGATCGCGAGAGGAATCGGCGAGGTCGTCATCATCGCGCCGCCGTCGCCTCAAGCGTAGAACTCCCGATTGTGGTGGGGCGCGCCCGGCTTGGGGAAGGCCTGCGCCGCGGGTGATCTCCTCGGCTCGTCTAGGGCGTACGAGCCCTCGTCCTTCTTACGCATCCGGTACACGATAAACATGACAACCAGTATCGCGCAGAGAAGGCCCACTACCGCGCCGCCAATCACAGCTGGAAGCATGATCGAGATATCTTAGATTTATGTACGCGGATAAGAGAAGAGTATTCTTCTTCTGCTCGTGAAGAATAATCTTTGTTCGACAACACTCCTCACAATCATCTTTATCAAATCAAGAAGCGAGCAGTAGTCGTGACTAGAGAAACTGGACGAAGAGATACGGTCATATCTCTTTGGATGAAAAGATACAATCGTAATCTCTTGGTGTAAAACACTCGTCGAGTATCACGTTAAGTTTGATAAGAAAAAAAATTGTCAGGCTGCATTCGAAAACATCACCCGTGTGCACACGGGTGATATTTCCGAACGTACTGTTACACTTACCGGCTAGTACACCTGGCTGTGCGAAGAATGAGCTGGCACGGTCCTCGTGTTTCGGATTCATTATATAGACTTCGTGGATCTCGTCGGTATTGTCAGCGTGATCGTCTTCCGTGCCCGAGGGTTCGATTACATCGACCTCGTTGCCGGGTCGGTTTACCGCGTCGATAGTCGTCTGGAAATTGGATACGGATCTCTTCAATCACTTTAATCTCTTTAATTCGCGAATGTGTGTGAGAGAAGAAATGCATGCGCGCTTGTGTCATCGAACAAAAATGTAGTGATCCGTTTCCGAGAGTGGGAGGTGTCGTCGCGTCGGCACTTTAATCGGGCAAATTAGATTGCACGCTCGTGCAGGAAACGCAAAGCTCAATATCGTAAAACATCGCAAAAGTATGATATACTAGCGCACGGTAATTTATAAAATAAAATGCAATTACAATTTTATATAATCTATACGTTTTATCTCTTCTTCGTGAGGGAAAAAGAAATCAACACGATCTAGCGATTTGTATTAGCAAGAAATTGACAGCTTGCACATTTTTTGTACAATGCGTGAAAAATATATTCGCGACAAAAATAAAATTTTATTTTTGTAAATTTATTAAATGAAATATAAAAGAGAATGTTTTGAAAATGTTTTGCGAAGGTAAAACTAACGAGATGTAGTATGTTTGCAAGTAATTTTCGGAAGATATTACCTGTTGTTTAGTTTTGACGTTTGTCTCATCGATAAAGTATGGAGGTCTCGCTTCGGTCGGCTTGCTCGGGATCTCTAATCCATTATTACCGTTGAACTCTGTAACAAGTTATAACGGATACATTAGAATTTTCATCTCGAATAGATTCGTACACGAATTTTCGCGGCGATTGCAAGATTCGAAATTGTTTTTTTTTTTTTTCAACTGGCACGTTTGCAAAAGCTGGAAGTGAATTTTCAATCACCGTGATCGGGGAACGAGAAACGATCTGCATAGCGGTGAATACGCGCGCTGATACTGTATATTTTTCAATTTTTGGAAAAATCCGCCGCTGCCACCGCCTTTGTGATCACTGCATGACAGTTTATTGATGCATTTAGTTTCACGGTCAGCATTTTTTTTTATCAACATGTAAAAGATTCGCCAAAAATCTTCAAATCTTCTAAACACGCGCGTCGAAATAAAAAAATTATCGTTAGATAGAAACATTAGCTTGATAAATAGCAGTAAATAAAAATTCTAATCGCTATTTTATTTATATCTTCCCCTCCCTCCTCCCCCCATAAAAAAATCATTGCTTTGATATTTTTCACGATTGCTATCTGCTTATACAGAGATATCGAGCATGGTACCGTGATCGTCGTCTCCGTCCTCGTCATCAGGGCCAAGGCCACTGCCCGAAGCCTCGAGGTCGTCGCGATTATCACTGCCCCCTCGACCGGAGCCTTCTATGTCCTGGTCATCCAAGTACAAATCGTCCGGGAAAGTATTGTAAGTCGAGCTCGCCGACGTCCTTTGCTTGGTGTCGGTCTGCTCCTTCTGAAAACCGAGAGATTATAAAGTAAGATTTAATCAGTACACGTCTCTCTCTCTCTGAATTAATATTAAATCTTGCGAGAGGATCGTCTAGGATATCTCTCACAGATCACTGACACGTGGGACGCTATACCTTTTCCTACGAAGCTCGAGACTTGACATCGCGCAGAAACGCGACAAAGCTCCGAGCTAACGTAATTAAAGGCACGCGCATATCCTTGCGCGTTCTCCTTGACGCGACGTCTCTGTGACATGAAAGGGCTCCACGGGGTTCCACGGTTCATTAAATTTTAATTTAACTCCACCGCGAGGTAAGAGCGATCCCGTTTCTCTTCTCCTCTCTCGCTCCTGAGAGCTGCTTCCATGAACGAGTGCGCTGGATTTACAATCCGGCACACCGTCGTCGAGCATTACCGTCGTGCAAATGTCGCGCAAATTTCAGGTTCAGTGCAGAAGTCAAGAGTGGAGGAGAAAAAAAGAGGAACAAAATAAACCCTGGCAGGGAGAAAGCTAGAGAAAGGGGATTCCTTCTCGTGAAAGATCCGCGTGGGTGGCGCGAGTCGCTTCGTTCTATTTCTAGCCAGCTTCATCTCCTTTCCATCGCCTAGCACAAAAATAGAGATCGCCTCCTTTACGCATCTTCCTCATTTCGACGGTTCGTTTCCTTCATCGCGTGTCTTTCCGTTAATCGTACGCGGATAAATCGCCAACTCGACGATACTCGCCGCTTTAATTGCATGCCACAAATACATCCGTAGAGCGGTTGATAAAATTGCATCGTCGTTAAATTGAGCAAATAAACAATCGCTCTATCTCTCTTTCTCTCATATTTATACGGGCAACAAAGAGTATGAGTACGGCTGGCGGATGATTGAGGAGGAAACGACGGAATGACCCACGCTTCCGGTTACGTGATGTCCGCGGAATGCGAAGTAATGCGCTGCGAGAAGTGTACGGAACGCGTTGATCGACGAGGAAGCGAGATTGCAAACGCCAATATTCCAGCTCTACGTATTGTCTCTAGGAAAATTTCATTTTCTCGGAACGAGATCGTGCGAGTTCCTTCTCTCTCTCTCCCTCTCTCTCTCTCTCTTGAATTCCAGAAATATATTACTTTATTAAAAAACAATGCATTTCTTTCTCAGATATATAACGTAGAATGTGCTCGAATGTGAAATATATATTCCAGCATAAAATTTCTACGTTTTCTAAATCGTCCGACTGATTGATATCGATATATCTCACTGCGATAGCGTTCCACGTGGAGGATTACGAGAGCGGCTAAAAAAAAAAAAGAGTATTTTTATAATATAATAGACGCGAAAAAAAATGACGGAAGTAATAAAGATGATAAAAGAATTAAAAAAAAAAAAAAAAGATATTTCTCGTCGCGCGTCACGACCTTCGCGTCAATATAGCCGCGATTGAATAGCGTTATTAACGAATGCGATCGATAGCGCGAAATTCGCTCTTGCGGATTGTATCTCGCCGCGCTCGCCCACCGAAACGAAGCGATTTCCTCCCTTTCGCTTTTGCACCGAAAGACAATGAGCGCCCGATGACTGTCGAAAGCGCGCACACCTCGTCGAACGCGTTTCCCATTCTACGCACACGCAACGTACAACAACCGACCGTTGTACGGTACCGCGACGGGCCAGGTATTCAATACGTCAAAATCCAAACGTGTGCAACGCGTCACATGATGAGAGGAAATAACCAAATTACGCGACGCTAAATGTTGACAACTGACGAATCGGCGAATTGTCTCGAATACGAAGATCAACCGGAAATATATTTCAAATCTGTGTTTTAAATTTAACTGTATTACGTGCATTGTACTTTCTTTACTTAAAATGGAATAAATGTATTACCGGACATTGGAGGGGAAGATAAAAAAAAAAAAAAAAAAATTACGAGAAGCTACAGAAAATGCGAATGAAAAGAAGGAAGAGATTAATCGGATGTTATTTTCTTGATCGTGCGATTTTTTTCGAGATTTTTTTTTGTTCTCATTATTTTCTATCATTATTTCTATTTTGTATTATCTCTCAAATTGACTATATTTTCGATACGATATTTAATCGTTCATTTTGCCATCAATTATTCGAAGAATGGCGGGAAAGGAACGATAATGTCAACCGCAATCACACTCTCCCACATCTTTAGCACAATTTCTCGAGAAGAATATCGCATCGTGGAAGCGGATAATGAAACGCCGCGAATAAAGAAATAAGTATTATAGCAGTTTCACGGGTAAACAACAACGCACCGATCACGTAGAAGCCAAGAGGAACCCTTATTCAGAAGAACGCCGACTAGGATAGGTCCTGGACGAATGCTGGACGAGTGTGGTCGCCCGGTACATCCGCCAATCGATATCGAGAAAATTCAGCCCAGCCCGCGAGCCCTGCGACTGCGAAAAGGATCGACCTTGGATTCTTCCCGTCAGCAGAATTTACATGCGACGCGTTCACCAGTCGTGCTCTCTCGCGAGCGAAACACTTCGATTTTTTTCCCCACGCACCCTTTTCTCACCCTTATTGCGCTCGAGGAAGACGGCAAGAATTGCGCGGGCGCGCGATGTTATCGACCTCCATTCTTCGGCCTGTCCATCGCGGGGTCATGTGGTTCCGTCGTCGGAGAAAAAAAGCTCGCCGATCTGTCAACGCGTCTTTCACGCACCTGGCGACGCGGATTTGACCTCGAGGTTGTCCAGGATGTTCCAATCAACGGAGGGACGGTGTACACGGGAAGAGGTGACCTTCTTGCCACCGAGTTCTCGTGCCTACACGCGAACATGTGAGCCTACACCGATATTACCTCTGTACTTACGCGTCGAGTCGCTTAGACAGATGACGGCTGGAGAAAATGCGTGAATTCCGCGGCGGAAAACGGGAAAATTCGGAGGGTGATGTGCGACGGTTTTAGGCCAGGTGATGACTGCACCGGGAGTAGTACGAATCCGACCCGGCAGACGGCACTGCTCGCGACTGTATATATACATGTGTATACAGCTCCCAGCGGTTGTATATATACATTTACGTTATACAGGATGTCTCTTTTAAAGTTGGAGCAAGATTCGAGGATGTATTTTTTTTTTTTTTTTTTTTTTTTTTTTATAAATTGGAATCTGATTACTTCTCAAAAGAAACTTGGCTGGACTTTCCGATATATCTCGCAACATTATGCCCCAATTATTATTAAAAAAAAGATGTGTATACGTCAGAAAATTTATAGATAAAAAAATGCAGATAGAGAATCGCGTTGTGTTTCGTTTTTTTCTTCTTGGTTTACGCGAGGCAAACGTGATAAATCCGTCAAAAGCTTCGCTCGCTCGCGAAACGTATTCAATAAGTCATACGATAAGGCGATTCGCGAGCGGGACGGGATATTGAAAATCTACTTGGTCGATGGAGCTTGTTGCGTGTATGTTTGCTGCGAATATACGATCGACATCCTCGCATACGTTGTCGTCTTATTTGAATGGACGGGATTTTTCATATCGAATTCGAATCCGAGGGACTTAAACTCGATTCGCGTGAACGCGTGTGTTCTCTTTCTCTCTACTATATCCAGTGTAACATCGTATACGCTCACCGTAGGTTCTTCGTCCTTTTTATTTTATTATTGGTTTATACAACGGTGAAGAAAATGATGTCAACGCTCGAGAAAATGGAAAAATCGATCGCTGGGCGGTGCACGTAGGGCTTTTTACGATGTGCGCACACGATGTCGATATACGCGAGCGATATACGTGTAACAACAAAGTAAGAAGTCGGAAAAATGCGCTAAATACAAGAGACAAGACCCGATTTGGTCTAGTCTGTCGTCAAACGAGCGATTCCGATGATTACAATTGCAATTGACGCACGCAAACTTCGCTTCTGCTCGTGGCTTGCTTCGACTTATAATTTCTGCGCTATAAATTCCACCATGTTCGTCTATATTGTAAAATATATCGTAAATTATTTTGAGCAGTCATCTTTTGTGTGTGTGTGATATCTATTTATGTAAAATGATGAGGAGAATCGATTTGTGTAAACAAAATCGTACGGTGTCATTATATAAAAAAAAAAAAAAAAAAAAAAAATCAAAATGATATTGACATCTATAAAAGAAAGTCATACGAAAAAATTATTACGTCCACATTTTCTCCATAAAATTGTGAAACTTTTATACAATTAAAACAAATTTTATTGCTAAAACGAGAAACAACAATAACGCATTAAAATGATTCGTTCCGTTTAATTTAGAGGCTCTATCAAATAGATATCCCCTTCTTTTTGAGCCATGTACATTTCGCGAACAGTTCGCTGACAGTTATGACAGGAACACGTGGAATGCGCGGCACGTGGCAGGTAAACGATGTTGCTTGCCGACGATGATCGCGTTATCTCAAATCGTTGGCTCTCGTTGTCGGACGGCAGAACAATCGTTCTCTCTGTCTCTCTCTCTCTCTCTCTTTCTGCTTGACGCACCGCCTAAACGTTCACGGTGCGCTAACTAATTGTGCTACTTGCCAGCAAGACCGAGGAGGAGACTACACGGCCGATCGGACAATTACTCGACGGTGAGAAAAGGACGGCGCGGTGCCAGCGGCTACGAAGCGGAGGAATTCTGGAAAAGTGTGACGCGCGCGTATTTTTATAATCCTCCTGATCTACATGTGGGCGAAAAGCGGCACGGAGGATAGTCAAGCTGATACGATGCACAGATATGCGCCGAGATTATATACCGAGAAAGTAGCAGTCTCAATTTACGCTTTCACGAGATCCGCGGATTAATTGGACTTTTTAATTTTAATCAGTTTATGTTATTTAAGAAATTTTATGGAAATTTGAAGACATGAGCACGGATTGAATAATTTAATAAAGTAAAATGAAGAACGAGAAGAGAGAAATCAAATAAGAAGAGAGTTTAAAGAGATCAGTGGCTAGATATGTTTTCATCAACGATACGAATTTTTCGCCGTAATCTTATATCAATCGATTCAGATATCGAAC